AAGAAAGAAATTATTCAAGTCCTTTGTCTCTTATATTGCTGTCACTTTCAGATCCCAACTTTTCGGAAGGGATCTTAGTATTTTATTAATAAGTTCAAAATTATAAAAATATTTACCAAGATTTTTTAAACTATTGACGACATCCGTAAAATGAGTGTACATATCAATAATAGTTTCGCTTGGATTCATACGAAACAATTCAAAATCATACATCAAAAAATTAATTTTAGAATCTTTAAATCTACTTGTGCCTTCATGTGTAATTTCAAGAGTGTGTCAAATTTCATGTGTAGTTTCGTAAATAGAAGCCCAATTAAATTCATTTTTGTCTAAGGTGCAAACCAAAGCGTTCATCGCTTTAGCATTCAAAGAAAAAGTCTTCTCCAAATCATTCCATTTGTTTATTGGTTTGGAAGACTTTTCAAAACCGCTTTCAATAATGTTCCATATATTGAAATTCATATAAAGCAAGAAAACTCTCATTTGAGTTTTCCAATATGTGTAGTCCGCCCCATTGAACATAGGAGGATGAATAATAGAGTAACCCTCTTGAAGGCCGAAAAAAGACATCTCTCTTAGGTGTTAAACCAAACAAAAAAAAAACAACTCTGATACCAACTGTTAGGATCAAGTCGACACTAAGAGGGGGGGGGGGTTATGAATTAGTGCTTATGATAAAAACGTCGATTTTGATAAATTACGTTTGATGAAAACCGATATCAGAAAAGAGTGCTTGCCTTAGAGTAAGTGAACTAAGTAATTAACTAAGAAAGTAATAGTAATGATAATGAAAAGAAGAATAGAAATTGCACACTGAGTTTATAGTGGTTCGATCGTCGTGACCTACATCCACTCCCAATCTCTCTTCACTCGAGGCCACCGACTTCCACTACCGATCTTCTTTTCAGTAGGCGAAGATCAACTACCATTACACTCTTTTTTATTTTCACAGGTTCCGGAGAGAACCTTTATAACCCTCTTTTATAATTGTCCCCTCACAAGATTATTATGTTTATCTTTTATGTCAAATAAAAACATGCATCAACGTTTAATAACCGAAAAATAAGATTTATCACAAAAATCATTAAGATCAAAAGTGTAACACATAATTCCAAAACATATGATTTCAAATCTTCATTACTTCAAATCCTCATACATAATATAAAATCATCAAGCATAATACCAAACCTTTTAACATTTTCATTACATCATTACATCATTAAAACATCATATGATTTCATTGAACATAATTTTCAATCAAAATCATTTTATTTATTGCTAAATCTTAAATTTTGATAATAAAATCAATTGATGAGTTTATGATCTAATCTACATTTTGAATGATGTAGGACTAGCTTCAATCAAGGAGAGGCAAATTGATTTAAGTAGAAGGAATCTGACGTTGAGCCAGAGTTGAACATGTCAGGAGATTAAACATCGGGCCGAAGGATCAGTTGACGTGCCGATAAAAGGACTTTGTGCCATAAGTTCGGGCATTGGGCCGAAGGTTCAAACATTGCGCTAAGGAGATCGAAAGCTGTGGGAGTCAATATGCCGATTGAGCAATACACCGAAGGAGAGGACGATGCGTCGAAGGATCGAACAAAGCGTTGGAAGAACCAATGACATGTCGGAAAACATATGATTCGTGCTTTGTAATAATTTGTCTAGATCAAATTAGTTTAGGTCTAATTGAGTCGGTATTGGAGTGAAACAAATGCAAACTCAATTAGGGGCCAATTGGGCTTGAATCGGGGCTGAATTGGGCCTACTGTTTAGCCCATTCAGTGTCATATAGCAAGGATTGGTGGTGGTACCACCCAGACTAGGTGATGGCACCGCCCAAACATAGTCTTCAAGACTATGTCAAGCGGTGGTATCGCTAGGTTGGGCGATGGTACCGTTCAAACACAGTCTCCCAAAAGTGTCAAGTGGTGGTACCGCCAGACTAGGCGATAGTATCGCTCAGTGTTAGAAAGTACTCGCGGTGGTACCACCAATACCCCAAAAACCCGAGGATTTAAATTTTGGCTCCAAGTTTTGAAGCCATTTGGGGTCTATAAATACCCGACAAATTCCTGCTTTGAATACACACAAAAGTAAAAACTCTATGATTCCAAGGTTGAAAACTCTTTTAAGTATAAAGTCTCTCCTCCAAAAGCTTAGTGATAGTCCTAAGAGAGGTATGTGAGGGAACATTTGTAGAAGAGTGGTGTAAAGATTCTCTCCTGAACCTGTGAAAAGGAGAAAGAGTGTAAAGGTAGTTGATCTTCGCTAATTGGAAAAGATCAGTAGTGGAAGCCGGTGGCCTCAAGTGAAGAGGGATCGGGAGTGGATCTAGGTCACGACGTTCGAACCACTATAAACTCGATGTGCAATTTCTATTCTGCTTTTCATTATCATTGCTATTACTTTGTGAGTTAATTACTTAGTTCACTTACTCTAAGTCAATCATTTTTTTCCGATATTGATTTTTATTAAACATAATTTATCAAAATCGATGTTTATCATAACCACTAATTCACAAATAGTATTTTAAAATTTTCATAAGATTTTGGTCGATTATTATATCATTTACATTATTTTTTAAAATGATCTAAAAATAATGTAAATGATACCAGGACTTTAGTTTTTTAGGCCAAATTTTTAGGATAACTTTCTCACCCATTAAAAAGCTTAAATGTTAAAAAAATATTACATAGATGTATCATATTTGGATGAAAAATTAAAAAATAAGAGAAATTTATAAAATTCTAGATTATTAAAGTCATATATACCTATCCGGGTGTCATTCAAGGGTGTCTTGAAAATTTCACAAGATTCTGACAACTCCTTATATCAGTTAACAGTATTTTTGAAATGACTAAAAAATAGTATAAGTAACACAAGGGATTTGTTTTCAAAAACTATTTTTTGAGCATAGGTTTTCAACCTATTAAGAGTCTAAAATGTTACCAAAAAAGAAAAATCCATTGATGCATCATATTTTGATGTAAATTAAAAAATAGAGAAATTAGAAAATTTTCATATTATTCATATGTTGAATAACATAAAAAAAATAAAAAAACTCTAAAATAGAAAAAATCTCATTTAAAGTTATTCTAAAAATTTCATATGATTCTTATTAGTCGTTGTCTTAGTTATACTGTTTTTGAAATGGTCCAAAAAATAATGTAAGTGACATAAGGGGTTGGTTTTTGTGAACCACAATTCCAAGATAGGGTTTCACCTATTAAGAAGTTCAAATGTGAAAATAAATTGCATGAATGCATCATATTTTGATGAAAAATAAAAAAAATTAGAGAAATTAGAAAATTTTATACATTTTAGATGCTGAATAATCAAGAAAAATATTAAAAAAAACCTCTAAAATAGAAAAAAAAAATTACATATGTCCATTTGAGTGCCATACAAAGGTATCCTCCAAATTTCACATGATTGACTACTCTTTATACCAGTTACACTATTTTTGAAATGTCCTGAAAAATAATGCAAGTGATACAAAGGATTGGTTTTCGTGAATCAAATTTTAAGGATAGGTTTCTCACATATTAAGAAGCTTAAATGTTAAAAGGCATTACGTAAATGCATAAAAAATAAAAAAAAAATAAAGAAACTAGATAAATTTTTAACTATTCACAAATTGAATAACCTTGAAAAATATAAAAAAAATCTCTAAAAAAAAAAAAAACTCATACATGTCCGTCTGGGTGCCATTTAATAAGATATTAAAAATTTCATAAGATTCTAACCACTCCTTATATCAGTTATATTATTTTTTAAATGACCCTACAAAAAGTTGGTTTTTGGACCAATTTTATTCATTTACACTTTTTTGAATACTATAATTTTTTTAATTTTTAATTTTATCAAAATATGATGCATAATTGAAATATTTTTTGACATCTGAGAATCTAAATAGGTATGATACGTATTCTGAAAATTTGGTCCAAAAGATCAATGCCCTGAGCTACTAACACTTTTTAAATCAAAGAAAGAAAAAATTAGTGTTATATTTTATATATTTTATATATTTTTATTAATATAAATTAATATATTAGTAAATTATTTAATATAATTTATTTTGAACTGATCGAAGTTTTAGGTTAGTTGAACCAATTCAATTATATGAATTGATTTATCAAAAATGTGGAGAGAGAAGTTACGATGTTTAAGAGAAAAAGATAAAAATTGAGAGCGCTGTGCAAAACTTTGTCAAAACTAAGAGATTTGTCTTTTGAAAAATTTGTCCATTAAAATTTATATTCAAAAAATTTTCGCTAAATTATTATTGTATTATGATTTGTGGATTTGTTAATTAAAAGATTGAATCCAGAATGTAATGTACTGTATATTTTTCCTTTGTGGTGCATCTATGCAGCTAATTCACATCACTTGCAGGCTGCTTCGTTGTTTCACAAAACTTCAAACAGGAATAGTTGTGAATAGCTGCATGATTCTTGGAATAATGGTAAACATAACAGCTATTGACAAATTGACTTGCTAATCAGTCAACTTCAGTGATTCTTGGAATAAAATTGTCAGACATTCTTCATCTCATGGCTGATAAATTTTTCATCCATCCCAATAAAAAAGCTCTCTGTTACAAAATCATTAACTACAAGCTAATAGTAATTATTCAGACCCATGAATCATGCTGTTGAAACAAATACTGCATGGGTATCATCACAGTCCATAACCTTCTATGGATTTGCATGGGTGGAAGCCCCGTACATTGGACCAACAATAATAAACAAATCTAAACTAATTTTAGTCATACAAAGACTTGGCAGAATGAATCCTCAGCATCTTACTTTTGTTCCTCGATTGTTTTTCCTCTCCCTTCTCACTGTTGGCAATAGCTTTGGCTATAAGTTTTAGCTTCCGGATGTTCTTGGATCTCTTTACTGGTATTGCTTTCTTGATCTTTCTGTTTCCAGCATGAATAGACAAAACAGTAGTCACAAATGAAATTAATTTTGTTGGTAGAAACTTGAATCTTAAAGCAACTAAAAGCTAGGAGCATTTTCTGTAGAATGTAAAAGATCATGAACAAAACATCAAGGACGGTATTCCTTTTAACTATACATTTCATGGAAGGGAAAAAAGAGAGAAATATCTACATCAATGTACCATCAACAGTATAACAAAAAAAAAAAAACAAACAAAAACCATCCCTCAACAGGTGATCTAGAAAGTATGTATACTTGAACTCCTTTTGTAACTAGAAGAGGATATGATTACTTTGTTCATCTCAGCGTATCTTTAGCTCCTGTTTTTGATCAATGCAACAACATATTGTACTACTAGTTTCCTGTAAGCACTTCAACTCCACAGTTGGCAATGTAGGGAAGAGACTCGCAGCAGGGCATTCTGCTTCCTATGTTTCATCAATAATTTTTTCAGTTTTTATTTTATAAGTTTTATGTTGAGGAAGACTACTAATAACAACAAAAAACAAACCTTGCTTCTCCTATTTATATTTGGATAAATTATGGAACTTCCCAAATCAGCCTCAGTTTCCAAATTTTGAAGCTACTTCAAAGAAAATAACCAAATATTATCAATTGCCAACTGGTGGTTGACAATAAACAGATGGACAACTCAACGTATAGATTTAATTTTAAATTTAATTTTTAATCTAATTTGAAAAACAGAATAACAAAGAAGAAAAATAAAATGAAAACAAATAATTGGTTTGCCCTCTTAAGCCCCATCAACCACCAAAGCTAGGTACTACCATACAAGGACAACAACTAAGTTTCATCTATAAAGAAAGTAGAAAATGTTAGCTTCTGCTTAAAGCAGTGTATCAAGAATCATTTGACCCTATATCTACTATGGAGCCTTTTGAACCAATTTTTTTCACCCAAAAGATACAAATGGCTGGTCTCGCCCTAGAAAGCATTCTTATTTTCCAAGACAGTTCCTACTTCTAACAAATGGCGGGTCTCGCCCTAGAAAGCGTTCTTATTTTCCAAGGCAGTTCCTACCTCTAACGGTAAAATTTTGGCAATCAAAGATGATCATTTTCTTCATGTATATAATCACAGAGAACTATTCCAAAGAATCTATTAATGTAGAAGAACAAGTTCAATCTAGTTTTCCTCTTTGCTTTTTAGAAAATATGGTGACCAAAATTTTGCTTTGCCACCTAAATGTGTCCCATTTTATTAGCTATTGACTGGGAATATATAAAGCCATTTTTTTCCTATAGCTAATATTAATGTACTACCCTATTTCTTTTGTATGATGGAAGTATCAATATATTTTTTTCCGTTCATATACACAAAAGGAATCCAAACAAGTGAAGTGACGGAGTGCCTGAGAGCTCGCCTAGGTGCCCAAGCGAGGTGGGGCGAGGCCCGAGCATCCAATAGGTGGGCTGGGCAAGCAAGTTCAACCAAGTGCGGCCTAGGCACTCACCTGGGCCCAAGTGCTGGGTGGGCCAAGCACCTGCCTGATTCAACTTAGGCTGAGTCAAGCTCGAGTCCAACCAATTGGGTTCTCTAATTCAATTGAACCATATAGACTCACTCTCAACCCCACAAACCCAACCCTCCCACGTGTCCGTGCCGTAAATGCAGCAATGACAAAACAGGCTCTCTTTCTCCCAACAACAATGGTGTTTCCTTGACGAATGACGACAGTGTCTTCGGTGTTTCCTCTAGCAACGACATTTTTCTTAATGAAGGATGGTTGTTGCGTCTTCCTCCATCAGTGACCGATGGTAACAACTCTCTTTCTCCTCCTCTTCCTCCTTCACAATTGCACATTCCATTCTCCTCCCTCACTCGTTCATCGCAGCCCCCCTTCGCTGATCCCGACTCCCTCTTCCCCTCCATCTTCCACCTTTCGTCATAGCTTCCCCCCTTCCCCCACACCATCCTCCCCCTCCTCTTCCCTTCTCCCTCT